ATGATTACTTTTTAAAGGGAGGGCATTCAGATCCTAGAGAAAAAGCTCCCGAGTCCTGGTAGGTATATATATACATCTCAAAGAGACAGAGGGAGGATTCCTAATTCCAAGCCCTCTTCGGTAACTGCGGTAGGAAAGTGTACCTATCCTTAGGTATTGGATAGAATAAACAGTAAACTCTTTTGGCAGCCTTGAGCTTTCTTGGGCAAGCACATCTGAAGAGGGCCCGGGGTCAACCTAGGGATACAAGCTATGTTAATGTTTGTTTTTAAACTTTTATACTGGAGACTGAACCCAGGTCCTTTGCACTGAGCTACATCCCATCCGCAGCGCGTTTTTGTTTGTTTGTTTATACAGGGTTTCTTTCTAAATTGCAAAGCGACCCAGGGTGGGCTCAAATTTACGATTCTCCTGCCTCAACTTCCTGTGTTAGGATTACAGCTTTTTACCACCACGCCCGACTTTTAATGTGCATTTTATACTTGCAGTCACTCTCAGTCGGGACCAGTGCCCCTTCAAACCTGCAAACCACTACAGCGTTGGACTACAGCAGACAACTAGGAGGACTCGCCTTGCTGACGTCAGAGCAGGGTGGATTTTAGCCAGAAGGAGGCAGAGCTTCTCAGAGAGCGCGTTTTGGGCCCCACCGGCACCCGTAAGAGAGCCTAGGCTGCGACAGCACCGCCACGTCTGCTGCGGCTGCGGGAGAAAAATTAGTTGGGCCTCTGTGCGGCTGCGGGTAACCATGGCCTTTACGCTATACTCGCTGTTGCAGGCGGCCCTGCTGTGCGTGAACGCCATCGCCGTGCTGCACGAAGAGCGCTTCCTCAAGAACAGTGAGTGAGGCCGCGGGGCGTGGGCTGAGGGGGCAGCGGAGCCCGGTAGGCGCGGACCGAGCCCGGCCTCACGGGGGAACAGCCCGGGCCTGGTCAGGCGGTGGCTGGGCGCGCTGCTTGGGGTGCGGTGGTCGCTTCCTTAGGAGACAAGCCGAGCCACGGTCCTCTCACCACTTTTGAGCTCAATGGCAGGGTGAATGTTAACAGACCCCCACCATGAGGAGGGCTCCGGCGTGGGAGGATAAGAGGTGAGACCCGGACGCCCCTGCCTGAGATTGGTTTGGGCCTGTAATTTCACTGTTAACGACTTAAATGTACGAAAAGGTAGGAGTCTGAATTTAGAGTTATAGAGTTGGGGCTAGGGGAGGGGGCGTGGCTCATTTTAGAGCTTTGGTAGAAGAATGGGCTGATGGAGGGCAAACAAGGGTTTTTGCGCTTTGGGGATAATAAGAAGGGGGATGATATGGGAGTTAGTAGGACAGCCAGCCACCCACTTTCCAAGATGTTTAGTACAGCTCATTGGGCGCCTGTAGGGGCCATGCAAAGATGAAGACACAAGTATGGCTGGGGCGACTTCACAATCAAGCCGTCATTTTGCCAGCCTGGCAGGCTTCTTCTTGCTAAGGCAGAATTGAGACCGGATACTGCATGATGTGAATTACTGTCGCAGTATACCAAATATGACCGTGCAAATCATTAAAACTCAAGACTGATTCATTTATTACTTCAGAAAAAAATTATTGAGCACATTTATTTTTGTCCTCAAATTATGTACTGGGCCCATGTAATAAAAGCCAAAGCTGTAGCAGTTGCCTTGCTCTTCTAATGGAATTTTTTTTTTGGTACTGGGAATCGAACTCAGGTCCTTCCGCTTGCGAGGCAGGCGGTGGAACCACTGAGCTAAATCCCCAGCCCTCTTCTAATGGAATTTAATCAGAATAAAAATAAATAACAAGAACAAGTGTGCAGAGTATCATGAAAGAGAAATGCAGGGTGATGGTAACTTGTGAATCTCCAAAACCTTGTAGGAAGTATGTCCAACCTGAAATCTGATGAGAAAATATTAACTAGGTAAAGGTGAAGGGGTGGTAGGCTGAGGAGAGCCATGCGCAGTGTAGAGCTGGTGTGGAAATTCTGAAGCAGGTGAAAACAGTCTTAAGCAAGGCAGTGATGGGACTAGATTTTTGTTATTTGCAAGTTCCTTTCAGCTACAGTATGCAGAACACTTTGGAAGGGAAAGAATAAATGTGGGAAGAACCAGTGACTGGTATTTTTATAAAGAGTGTGATACAGAGATACACAAATGGACGCACTGGGAAAAGAAGTCAGTGTGACAACAGGCAGAGATTATATGTGATGTGGCTACAAGCCAACGAACCCTGAGGATTTCTAGCAGCTATCAGATGTTAGGAGAGGCATGGATGAGATTATCCCTCAGAGCTTCCAGAAGGAACCAGTCCTCCTGGCACTTTGATTTTGGACTTCTGGCATCCAAAACTGAGAAAATAAATTTCTGTTGTAATAAGCTTCAGTATGTGGTGCATTGTTATGGCAGCTTTAGAAAACTAATACAGATGAGAAGATACTTGAAAGATAGAAAAGGGAGAACATAATGTTGGACTTTGGGAATGAGGGAGAGAAGATAAAGTCAAAGATCTCTTAGGGGTCTCTAGCTTAAGCCACTGAGTGATGGTAGTACTGCATTAGAGAGTAATATCTGCATATATGATGAAAGGGTAACGATTGTTAAATTGATGTTTTAAAATCTTTATTATTAAAAAAGAAATTATTGTCAATGGAAAGGATCTAGTAGAGGGAAATTGGGAGTAGCAGTGGATAAAGAGTTAAAGACATAATGAAATAAGTTTTGGACTTTCTGAGTTTGACATTTCTATGAGATATACAAATGGGTACATAGAATAATTATTGGATTTAAGTCCATAGAACAGAAACATAAGCCAGGGTGGGAATTGGAATTTGACTCTGTCAATCACAGATGTTAAATGAAGCCATGTGAGGAAAAAGTATTCAGGGAAACAATAGAGTACAAACAGAATTTATGCTCAAGGCAGTCTTGGAATCTCCTCTAGTATTTAGTCTTTAGGTGGGGTTGGAGGAGCTGGTAGGACACTTGAAGGGGCAAAACAGAGAACTGGGAAACTTAGTGAGGTTTCACCAAAGTCAAAGATGTTTGGAGAAGGACAGTTAATACCATAGTAAAATGTGGCTGAAAAGTCAAGTAAGATAACTGAAAAGAGTCATAAGTATTTAGAGTAATTGGGATCACTGGTGATATTAAAAGAGCAGTTACAGCAGTGGGTAAAATTAAGATTGAGTTGAGAAGTAAGTGGAAAGTGATAAAATGGAGACAAGAAGATTATCTAAATTTATCATTACATTGAAGGAAGAGAAGAGAAAAGTTGAAGAGGATGTATTAGAAAATACATAGTTGTTTTGCTTTTAGACAGGAAACACTTGAGCTATTTGAGCAGTAACAGTGAGAACTAGCCCTAGCCAGGTGTCTCCAACAAAGTCAGTGCTCCAAAGTATATGAGGAAGGGGAGGGCCTGGACCAGTGAGACAGTTATACAAAGTATAAGAACAGAAAGAGAGGGCCGGGAATTTAGCTCAGTGGTACCGCCGCCTGCCTTACAAGCGCAAGGTCCCAAGTTTGATCCCCGGTACAGACCAAAAAACCCCCAAAAAACAAAAAGAAAGACAGAGATAGAGAAATGGGTGTAAGGAAGGTATTCATAAGCAGTTTATGAACCTTGATTGAATTCTGGTGCAGATACCTGTAAAAGGTATTTCTAGAACATTTGATGAAATTTGAATATGGCCTAGGACAGTGATGGTGAACCTTTTAGAGCTTTCAATGATAATAAACAGCCTGTTGCTGCACGTGTACCAGAAATTCTCCACCACTGGCCTAGGAGGTACTAGATGACATTAAAGAAAAAACTGTAAAATATTTTTGTATGTGTGATAATGGTATTATATATTATAGTTAAATAGGGAAATGCTTTTTGTTTGTTCGATTGAAACAGATCTTACTATGTAGTCCAGGCTGACCTCCAGCTTGGGATCTTCCAGCCACAGTCTACAAAGTGCTGATATTACAGGCATGCACCTGGGGAAAATGTTCATATTTTTCCAAGTGTGTACTGAAATATTTTAGGAATGAAATATAACACCATTAATTTACTTAAAGCATAGAAACCATAAAGCATGTGTGATGAAGGGCAACAATTATTAAATTGAGTGATGTTTTAAAATCTTCATAGTTAAAGTAATAAAGGAATTGTCAATGGAAATTCAGTAGTGAAAGTAAAATAAAAGATAATCAGAAGATTTGTAGCTCAAGGATGTAGAAAAGGTGCAAGGAGAGGGCATCTAAGACACAGGTGGAGTAAATGATAGTAAGGCAGTGAGGTATTTCTTCATTGAAGAGAAAGAGGGAAGGTTAGCTGAAGAAGGAGGAAGATTTGGTAGCCAGAAGTTTTTCTTCATTCCTTATAACAAATAGGCCAATGACTCCAAGCTAGGTAGAAAGGATATAGGAGTAAACATGACACACTGTCCCTGCTCTCACATAGCTTACAACCTAATGAATAAATGTTTAAAATAATTATGCAGATAGTTCATTGAGCCTGGGACAAATGTTTCGGAGGAAGATAACTGGGTACAGACATATGGGAATATAACCTCCTGGATGAATAAGGACAGTGTTATTTCCTAAGGAGAGAACATTTAAAACTGAATTCTAAAATGTGAATAGGATTTATTATAGTTCAAGGTGCCTTTAAAATTTCCAAGTAGAGATGTCATAAAGGTGTTTGAATATACAGGTCTTGTGCCCAGAGGATTTCTAGGAATGACTTCCTTATGGAGATTTTCAGTATTGGCTGATAATTTGAAACTGTTGGAACAGATGCTATCTTACAAAGTTCAAGGGTAAAGTCCTAAAATTATTCATTTCTGTCAAGGTTCTTGATTAAAAGGAGCAGAAGCTGATTTCTGCCTAATTAAGCAGAAAGGAATTTACCAAAAGGTTTTTTGATAAGTAGAACAATGGAACAGACTGGAGAATCCAAATTCAGACCCCTCCTTTCTTTTTCCATTAAGTTTATTGGTACATTTTAGTTGTAAAATACAGTTAAATTCATCATTGGGATCTTGTACCTTTACATGACGTATCTTGGTTTTTATTTTTTCCCCATTCC